CCACTGAAGCGGAAGAGCAAAAAAATGACAAGTATAAAGATCTAGTAGATGATGGGTATCTTTTTCAACCGCTAGCTTTTGAGATTCAGGGCGCGGCCGGCCCCAGCGCAGAATTTTTTTTGAGCAAGCTTTGTAAGAACCTAAGAATATGAACTGAGAAACCCAGAGCAGGCAGCTTTTTAAAACAGAGAATCTCCCTTGCAATACAGATTGCGAACGCCGCTTGCGAACTCGGAACAACAAATGATAAAACAACTGTCGACGAAATTTTTTATTTGTAACACTTTATTTTATACTTTCTCGTGTCGAGTTGCGTGTTCTTATCGAAGAAACTTTACCTGTATCGATTTTAATTGTAAGGACATCAACACTTGTCATCTTTTTCTATCATTATCACTTACATATCTAGAAAATTCCAAGCATTTACAGACTCCTGACTGTAAACTCTGTTTCTATGCTACTTTTGACTTTCTGATTATTACATTGCTGAAACCTCAAATTTAAAATGTTTTATCAAAATAACAAAATTTTTTGCCCTGTAGTTGGAGACTGTTTAAATATATTCAGGTATTGTGAATTTTGCCTCCAAATAAGACTGCTCAAATCTTCGTAGTTTTTGAGACATGACGTTTTTTCTTTAAGAAAGCTTTAGCACAAAAATATAGGGCTAGGAATTTAAAATTGAGAAAATGTTCAAACTTAAGTTTTCTAAAAACTCCAAAAACCATAAAAAACTTCATATCTTTAAGTTTTTAATGATTTGAGCAGTTTTACTTGGAAGCATGATTCGCAATTCTCAGAGTACTCTGACAGCTTCCAACTAAAGTGTAAGAATTTTCAATTTAAAAAAAAAGAATTAGAGTATTCTGAGAATTGCGAATCATGTTTCCAAGTAAAACTGCTCAAATCATTAAAAACTTTAAGATATGAAGTTTTTTATGGTTTTTGGAGTTTTTAGAAAACTTAAGTTTGAACATTTTCTCAATTTGAAATTCCTAGCCCTATAGTTTTGTGACAGTACTCACAGGAAATCGAAATCTTGCGTTCAAATGCGACTGCTCTTTGTTTAACATTTTGATGTGAAGTTTTTTATTTATTTTTAAAACTTTTTTTAAAGTACTTGAGTATAAAACACTTTACAACACTTTACAAATTTATGATTTTTTAAAGTTTGCATTAAAAAAAACTTGAATACTAAAGATTTACAAAATTTGAACTTACCAACCCAGTAATTGGGTGCTGTCAGATTACACTCAAAGGATGCAGATCTTATTTCTTATATATGCGGTTTTTTGTGAGTGTAACATTCGCCCGGAAGTACATATCGACGGAAAATAAAGCTAGGTTCTAAAACGACTGGCTAGCGTCTAAACACAGCTCTACATGCTTTTCACCGTCTCTGCCACAGCCAGTTTTTTTGGTGGTCTTTCTCACATCGGGTCGACAAAAACGTTACTGTTTCCGGCTTCGGTCAAAACACTCAAACTAACTTAATTATATGCAAGAATAGTGAGCTCATGGCTGGGTTTCAGTATCCCCAGACCACGAGGTCACTCCTAAAAACAGGGCTACTACTAATTATTATATTACTACTGTTTTTGTTCAGTAGATAAAAATCATCATCTCCATCGAAGATGGATCAACCCTTTCCCTCACTCCTTGCTTCTCATTCACTGAAAATAAATCTGGATGTTAATAAAATTTAACTCAGGACATGACCAGTAAGCTAAAAGTTTATATAAACTAGTTTGAGTTCTGGGCCCGAGACCCCTCCGGATTCTGGAATCCGGGGAAATAACGTCCTTATTTCTTTTAGGAAGGCTGGACACGTCGTCCCAATACCCTTCCTCGTTCGTGTGAATTGCTCGGTAACGATTGTAGCGGCACAATCGTTACAACTCGGGGCGGTTTCTGACAATTTCCAGTTATAACATCAATCTGTCGTTGTTTTCTCGTTGTTTTCACTGCAACTCTTGTTGTTCTGTTTTTCTTCCGTATTCCGTCCCAAAATGGCCCCTTAACACCTCTCAGAAATGGGACGTCACTATTCGAGTTTTTAAAAATTAACATGTCAGTCAACACCAACCCTTCCCGATTTGTCTGATCGTTCAAATAACGTCACTAATCTGTTAAAACCATCAATCTTCCAGGTTAGCTGCTCTTTTTCTGCTCCATAAAAATTCGAATGCGAAACTGCATTTTCGTACATTCTGGTCGAATGTCACAGAGTTGTCAAAAATTCGAAGAACCGGAGTTGCGTTACACGCTAGTCTTAGTTATTTGAAAAACTTTTTACAAAATCTCACAAAAGAGTTTCAGTTTCATTCAGTGTCAATGAACTTATTAAAAACACTTATAAAGGTAGTGATGATTTTTTTCTTTAAATAAGAAGTCCCGAATCCTGGTCTTGCGATTTTTTTTATTTAATTTTTTTTCTGAAGTTAAAATTTATGTCTGGCTTTTTGGCTTGTGTTTTTTTCAAGCTTATTTCGAACTCATTTGTTAAGTGGACGGCAACTTACGCTCTTAATTTACGAAAATGCTTATGGGGTTAAAATGCTTAAAAGATAAATTCATCCATTGCTGTTTGCATTTTTCATAATTGCATTTTTCATAATGTTTTGTTCTCTGTGAATCTTAGGTTTTGCTACGTTACAGTGTGATCCAAAAGAATTATGACGCAGGGTGACTCTACTCCCAAAAAAAAACGTTTTCAACGTCAAGAGTAGTTGGTTCCAAAAAAGTACCCCAGGTCAAATTCAGGTAACCCAAGAACATATTAAAGCCTTTTTAGTCGTAATTCTAATCCCAAAAGAATTTTAATTTCGAGAATACTGAGTTTAAAGTCTTTTTAATTTTAACGATGGCTTTATTGGGTTTCAATTTAATAGGATGTTGTGGTGATGATGAAAAGATAAGAAATTAATTTTGGTTTCTTTGAAAAGTTTTTTGATTTAGTATGACTACTTTTTTTTCTGAACTTATTCGCAAAATAAAAGCTCATTTGGAGGCAATTTTGCTAAAATCACGAGATGTAGTTTTGGGAATTTCATGAATCTGTTCTCTGTTTTGTTGGTGGCTTGTGTTTGCCGTTAGTCAAGCGTCTGTGGCTCGGTGGGAAGGACGTGAAAATCCTCGTCTTTTTGTCCGAGGATCAACGCAGTATTTACCTTTTATTTAATTTAAAATTGGTGGCGTTTTTGCTTTAAAGCATAGACAATTTATTATTATCTCTAGCAGCCTCATTGGAGGCTGTGTTGTCACATCTCAAATTCACGTTGAGCTTGTGCGAGTACGTGAGACTCTAAATCTCGAGATGGCAGTTTCGAATTTGAACTTTTCTTATTTCTTTTTTTTTTCAGAGCTACCTTGTGTGGTTTTATCGCTTGTGTTTGAGAAGCGCAGCTTCGCCTCTGCGCCTGGGGTTTTGACAAATTGTTGCTTTATGGTTTCTATTGAGTACAAAATTTTTTCGCTTCATTTAAGGTTTTTTCAAAACTTGAATACTAAAGTTTTACAAAGTTTGAAGTTACCAACCCAGTAATTGGGTTGCGGTCAGATTACACACATAGGATGCAGATCTTATTTCTTATATATGCGGTTTTTTGTGAGTTGTCAAAAATTCGAAGCACCGGAGTTGCGTTACACGCTAGTCTTAACGCAGTTTCTTGCTTTCAGTTTCTTGCTTTAAGATGGGTTCCTCCGGTTCAGGCACGTTTTGTTTATGTTCTTTTGAATTCTAGCTACCCTTGCGATAACCAAGGGTGTAGCAACCGGGTAATGCAATTTTTCCCCGTTAAAAATTTTGTTTGCTCACGTGAAAACGTTACACATATTTCAACTTTCCACATAATAATTGCAATCAACCATTCAGCGCATCTGAGTAGAGGTAAAACACGTGTCTAAGACGACAAAGGTTTGTAGTTCAAATCTGGCTGGGACCTGTCTTTTTGCGAACTAGAAGTTTTTTTGGTTGGTCGTCCGTCTGATTATTTTTGTCGGCTTAGTTACCGTAGTCCGCCTTTTTTTGTAGGTTCAGCTTTCTTCTGATTTTCTGAATGCCCTTTTAGAACCCCGTTAGTGGAGTTGATTGAGTTACCAGGCTTATTGAGGAATTTTAGCTCAATTTTTATGAAAATTTTTTGATCAATTTTTTTTTCAAATATAAAGGTTTTTAATTTTACTGATTTTTTTGAGCGTAATGAATTCGGAACACATTTTTTTTTTGTAAACAACTTGTCCAATAGAATCATTTTCTCAAATCTACAATTTCATCAGCCAATAGGATTATTTTGATCATGTCTGTATATCGAAAACCTGTTCTATTCAATATTAAGTTTTTGTTTGTTTCAATTTTACCAACTGTTTCGGTATAATTTCCGTTTTTTTTTGCGTTTTTTCTTTAAAAATTTCCGTTTTAAATCTCATGGCTGAGTGATCTTATGTTGCGCAGTTGTTTGAGAAAAACATTTTTCTTATGCTTGAATGTCTTTTCATGGGTTAATATATTATTATTTTTTAAATTTTGGAATTTTTTAAGGAAAACAACGGGTTTTGCTGCTTAAATAGTTTTTCTTCTACGGGTATCTGATTAAAAATTGTCGGTTTTGTTACCAAATTGAGACAAATATATAAAACCTTTTTAAGGATTTAGCGGTTTTCGTTTCAATTTATGTCTGCTAGTTTGTCATGCTATATTTGTGTTGTATCGGAAATGGTGCGAAGCTCCTGCTTCGCCTCTGAGTTCATTATGTTGCTGTTTTCGTTGCGAGCAAAGCAAAGCTTCACCTGGTTTCTGTAAAATTCTCAGACTGTAGGTGGCTACATGGTAATTTTTAAAATTAATTATCCTGGAAGTTAATTAGTTAGTTCTTAAGAAGTGAAAAAAGTAGTGGTTTCCAAGAACAGTAAAATGTAAAAAAAAAGAGCAATAACGAGTTTTTCACACCTTGCAAATCTATACTTGCTGTAAATGGCTTGCGATGGCATATCGTTCGACCTCGTTCTAGTATTCTTCGGCGAAAGAATTAGCTGCTGATAGCTCAAATAACAGTTGAAGATAACTTATCAACGAAATGGTTGAAACTTTTGAGAAAGTCTACCGTAACCGCAAATCGGCAGTAAGAAACGAAGTCACCATCTATCTCTATTGAAATATGTTAAATCCCATTGAATTTAAAATGGCATAGGACTTTATTTGCTTGCCTTATTTTATTGACCGAATCACATGCGACGGATCCTCAGTTGATAATTTTAACCAATAAGAGAGTAGTAAGTACGTATCATTTAAATACTCGATATATTTGACTGAGTTGCTGTTTAATAACTTGTTTGAGAAAAATATAATCCGTCTTGAAGACTAGTTTATAATCGAAGATAGATAAAGACCATTTTAATTTAGATCTATTCGAATCAAAATTGTTAGAGCTTCTTCAATATTTTACCAGTTTCAAAATAAAACAGGTCCACCGATTCAGCCTTTGCTTCCAAAATGAGTTCAGAGTCATCGACTGGTTTTGTTTAAATTACAGTCTGAAACCCAGCTTCAAATTCCACATAGTACCATTTTCATTTTGAGTTATTGTTTGTCTCTTTTTGACCGACAAAAGAGAGTTCAGAACCCGGTTGACTCTTCAATTTGACCTTTCGGCGCTCATCATCTGGAGGTCAACACAGTCCGAAGAAGCTTTATTTTTGACGCACGTGTGAAACCTAGACATCCAATGTTGAAACCGCGATTGAAAGAAACAAAACTTCCAAAGAAAAATATCTAATCATTTCGCAAATTTCCTGTACTATTTCCTATCCAGTGGAATACTATTATAATTGCATCCGCGCCACCGTAGCTCAAAATTTAATCACTTGTGGCATTTTCTACTTGTTCTGAAATATGAGTGCTAATCAAAAAGTTTCTTTATGCATTGCCCAAATTGTCTTGTTTGGAATCCTTTTTCTGCATTGTTCAGCGATTCAACGTAAGTAAAAAAAATGTTGTAAAAGTAATTATTCCTTATCAGATAATGATTTTAAATTTTTTTAATGAACATTATTAAGTATAATTAAGAGAATAATAATTTCAAATATGAGAAACCTTTTGCTGTCGAACTATCACATAACTATTCAAATGACAGTTATCGTAGCAAAATTCATAAAACGAAAAAAAGGGCACTGTTTTTCCAATTTTCGATACATTTTCTTAACTCTTCTGCTGTTCCCGACAGATATGAACATCATTACTTTTACGAAGTTGTATATCAAAAAACCATGTTTGCAATTGTTAACAATTGTTAACCCATGAGACAGTTTTTACCACAAGTGAACCACGTGAACAAAAGTTTTAAAAATATAGAAAATTGCAGACGGGAGCGGAGGGGGAGTGGTTTGGTGGAGGAACTTTTTTGCCCAAAAAGGGAGCAGGGAGGTGTCAACTGAAACCTCAAGAAATTAGTTTTACTAGCTCGAATTGCAAAAGGGGTAATCATTTCACGTTACCAAGTTGTGCATATGTTTAACCGTTGAATCAGTTTTTTTGGGGCGAAACTTTTTGACTTGATATCATAGGAGGTAATTAAATCTCGCTTTTTAAAATGAAGCCTCTTAAAAATTGACAGGGCATGGCTCTTTTAAGCCGCTATATCCGTCTGTTTTCAAAACAGAATCCTCTAAAAGTACTATTTAATTATTAACGATCTTAACTAAGACTCAAGAATGTCATTATTTGAAGCTCAGCAAATACCCATTTATCCCATTACATAGACGTTTTCGGGAAGGAAAATAAAAAAGGGCTGAGCCTTTTGACCAGAACTTTGCTTTGCTCCAATTTCGATTTCTTGTCTTTGATGAATCAATTACACGTCTGATATGGTTTACAAAAGATTCCCCAACTTTGAATATTTGTGACTCTGTTGTTTGAAATTAAATTAAGCATTGTTAAATTATCCGCCATCAGTTTTAACGCAAATGCCGGAAAGCGATAAGTTGAATAATGTAAAAATATAATGGGCTGAATTTCTTACTGAAGATTATTGGGGCATTTCGAACATAGTAGACGAAAAAACGAAAAAATTTTTAGAATGAACAAAAAAAAAACTTTTTTTTTTGCGTTTTATAGGTCTAAGTCTATTCGTTTTCTTGCTTTTGTATCAATAATTTAGTTTACGATAAAGATGGTGAAATAATCGTTTAAAGATGCTGAGAAAAATCAATTATGAAGAAAGTTCTTGTTAAATTGAAAATTGGTTTTCTGCATTTGTGATGTTCTTTTGCGTAGCTTATGGGTGTTTGAATTTCCATGATTTTAAATTGCTTGCTATCAAATTTCAAAGACATCTTTTTGTAAGTCAATCTAGCCCAAGTATCTTTTTCCCTCGGTTATTTTTGTCGTCAGGCATCAATTATCCTCAAGGCACATTTCACTCCATTACTTGAATTGCCCAATTCCCAAATGGGTTATTCTATATGTTTATGAACGCCTTCTGTTCTTGTATCTTCAACAGAGATAAGACAACTGTTGGATGTCCTGGAATTTTTTTAAAGGATATTTGTACAGACGTGGAAATTTTTTAAAAATTCTGCAGCAGAAATATTCGACCGTCAAACGCGGCATGAAATTGTTTTGATATTGAAAAATATCGTTAAAACTCGTTTTCTCTTTCTTATATTTACTCGGAACTACGTAATTCAAAATAATAGTTTTACCATATGCTGGTCTTCAACAAAATAGCTGTAAGAAAATATCTGAGTCGCAAAAAAAAATTACAATTCCCTTTTAGTGATGGAAATTGTGGAAATCATATGCAAACTAATGAAAATTGAGATAATATAGTTAACGAAAACAAAAACTTCTAAAAATTTAGGATTTTGTTATGAAATTAAGAAAAATAGTTTGATTAAAACACGGAAAATGAAACAGCTGCTTTGAAAAAATATTAAAGAGCTATTGAATTTTTCGCCAATCCTTGATAGTGTATTTTTTCTTTCAAGTAAAAATTGTTTAAGAGTAATGAACGTAGTGAAGACTCTTTTATAGTTTTTGCTGATTTTTTTTGTCTGCTTATATTAAGGTGAATGATGTAACATAAGTTATTTTAAATCTGCAGAGGCAAATTTTTAGTCATTTTGAATACAACTATTTAGAAAGTATTATTTTTTCTTATTTTCTAATTAAAAGATTGCTAAAAGTTCACAAACTCTTAATAGATTTAAAATTGCTTGACATGACTCAAAATGTTAATTCAAGTAGCGTAGATGATGCTTTGTTTGTTGATGAGTCATGGTTTGTTTTTCAGGTGTGTTGTACCAGTCCGATTTCTACAATGCAGATGATTGGACCCCAGTCAGCATTCCTGGGAGATCCAAAGACGGGGTGAGAATAGCTGTTGTCTTCCTACCATCCCTACTCTGCAGCACTTAATTTCCGAGAGATTGGACATTTTTTTATTCTGAGGGGGGGGGCAAATAATGGGTTCTACGAATGTATTATTACGAACATTCTTTTTTCTAACCTAACTCGCAAATGAAATTGTTCATTAAAAGTGTTCACTTATTTGGAAATTTCACTGCAGCATAGCATCTATGCTGCTTTACTTGTGGCCAGTGTTTGGTGCCTAATGAATTTCGGGTTAGTGCATGAGACTCTTAATCTCTAGGTCGCTGGTTCGAATCTCAGAGGTTTACGAATTTTTGCTAATTTGAGGCTTATTTCTGATTTTTAATATTGCATTTTATTTTTCGCGGTGTTATGGCTAAATGCATAGTGTTGCAATGTAAAGTATGGAGAAAAAAAATAGTTTGCAAAATTTAACCTGTTCACCATGCCAAGTTTGGTTGCATTATGACAACATTAAAGTAGTTTTTAAAAATTGAAAATGAAATAAGGAGAGTGTAAAATTGTCCGTTTTTGTTTAGAATTAACATTTGGGAATAAATATGAAATTCAGATTATAGCATTTTGTGATTCTTCAATTTAATTTAAAAAAAGTCATTATTGCGATACTCGTGCCCTCAAAGATGAGATTTCAAAAATCTCCAATATGCCTCCGACCGACTCCCCTCTAGTGTTCTGATTTCAAATAGAAACAGAAACATGAATTATTTTATTGCGTTCACAAAATGTGACGCCGCCGCCACCACCAAAAGAAATATGTTTTTATTCCCTTGCAAAAGGAAGGGAAATGCTATTGGAATAATTCGTATAACGTTTTAAGCATTGAGAATTCAAACGACTATTCTCATTCAATACGAATATTAACGATTCCTCTCGTAAAATACGAGCATACGAAACCTTCTTCTCGTAAAATACGAATGTACGAATAAAGAATACGAAGTTAAAAGAAACTTCTCATTTGATACGAAAAGTGGCGTGATTTCCCAATCTGAGTATAAATAGAAGCTCAAAACTACGGGAATTCATTCCAACAATATCTCTTCTAACACCAACACCACTCTCTTCTACCACCCCAACCAATCTCTAAAAAATATCTCTAATCTCACCGTTAAAATAGATATTGAGTCAAAAGGCAACTTGCTGTAAATTCATACTTCCTTCTTTTTTTAATAAAATATTTCTCAGCGAATTTTAGATTTACTTTCTAAGATAGAAAGTAGAAAGGACCCTTTATTCCTAGCAAGCGTTTTGTCCGACGTCTATAGTATTGCTAGCGTAATAAATTGGTGCGACCAGTGAGGCTTACCTTCTAAAAATTCGCAAAAATTGCTAAAGTCTCAAAAAGAGATAAAAAGCAAAAATTCCAATTCTCAAACTGGAGAATTGTTGAAATTTCTTTTACAAATAAAGAGAAGTAATAAATTTCCAAATCGGAAATTTAAGTTTTCTAAACAAATTTATAAAACTTTCTATCTTTCTTTTTTAAGTTCTAAACTAAATATAAAATGGCTGATACCCCAATATCCCATCCCAACTTGTCTTTAATGACATTTTCGGGAAACGATCCGAACCAAAATGCTACAGCATTTTGGAATTCAGTTGAAAACAAAATTCTTTTCTCATTAGGTCAAAGACCTGCTGATAATGATGCACGACGCAGCTATGATAGCAGACAACGATCCCTATTCGGATCATTGTTAACTGATACATCTCTTGAATGGTTCAATGATAATGTAACCAATGCTACCACATGGGCACAACTCAAAGATCTCTTCCTAAACAGATTCACTGACGGACGAGATCAATTCAAACATAGAATTGATGCTGAAAATGCAGCTCGCCAAGATGGCGAATTAATAAAAAATTACTTCCACAGAATTAAATCTTCTGTAGATAGAGGATGGCCCGAAAGTATTGATGAAGCCGTTCATGCTACTGAAGCTGCTCAAAATGCTGAGAGAACTATACAAAACAGACAAAGAAGTCAAAAGTATATTGATTTCTCAATTAAGGGACTAAGACCTCTAGCCCTTAAACAAAAAGCTCATGAATACATGATAGAGCATCCAAATGCCAACTGGGATCAATTCACAAATCATGTAATCACTAAGGATCTAACATTCATTGTTGCTACTGATCCTGCTAATAAGTCAACAACGGATAAAATGACTTCATTAGAAACTCAAATTAAAGAACTAACAAAATTGATCAAGAATCAAGAAGTTAGTGCAATCAATGATCAGAATTCATTTCAACGACGTCACCCTGACATCAAGGGAAGACCTAATAGTACACGATTCTGCGAATATTGCAGAATGAATGGACATTCTATATCTAGATGTTCCAAAAAGCAAGTTCAGGACGAAGTAAATAAGTTGCGAAAAGAACTCACAACAAAAAATGAACGAAGAGTTTCATTTGAAACTGATTATAAACGAAATCGAAGACCGAATAACTTCCCTAACCAGAATAACCCTAACCCAAGTAACCGGTTTTGGGATAACCAAAACAGAACTACTAACAATTCAAATCCTAGCCAAAATAACTATGGCATTCGCCATAATTATAACTACAACGGAAACAATTTCCAAAAGGCTAATGCACAATCGTCTTTCAATAACAAAAGACCCCAAACCTATGATGATAGGTATCCCAGAGAAAACAAATTCAGAGAAAATGAACAAGTTGCTAAACAGTTCTACGACCAAGAAAATAGGCAATTCAATAGTAATCCTAGAGGTCGACCATATAACACTGGAAGCTATAATAGCAATAACAGTCGAGACTCAACGCGATCTCAATCACCAAATTTTAGATCGAATCAAATACAGTCTGAAACTACCCACTGGGTTGAGGAAGAAGTCAATTACTGTGATGCGATCACTGATTTCTTTCCTTTAAACTATTAAAGTCTCCGAAACCGAGCGATGATAGTAATCCTAAATCAAGGATATATCTTAGCTTATATCATTTTGCCACCGGAGACAAAAATAATAATAGTGGACTTGAAATTGAATTCATGATTGATCCAGGATCAACTTGTAGTATCATAAACTACCCAACTTATCAGGAATTGGAAAAATTAGGTCAAAAAATGACAATCTACCGATCCAAAATTAAAGCAAAGACTTATAATGGATCTGATATACGTATGTTTGGCCATACATCTATCCAATCTTGTTTCGACACTGATGGAAAATATCCATCTAACCACAAAGTGTGGATAACTGAAGAAAAGACTGCTAACCTATTAGGAGTAGACTTTTGTCATCTCTTCTTGAAAGCTCTCTACTTTGATATCCCAGCAGTTGAGCTCAAATCAAAAGAAGGTGTAATATCCTACGGGTTGATGAACAACGATAAAGAATATCCTAACGTTTCAAAAATTGTCTCAATTAACTTGAAAGAACCCTTGTTCATTCCAGCACGCTCTACATACTTATACAAACACTTGGCTGAACCAAATTTATACTTCGAAAAAGGGACTACATTCCTGCCTCATAAAAATACAACTAAAACCGAATTGGTTTTCATTAATACAGTTTGTACTCAAATTGAGCAAAGCCTACCTATCCTAATTGAGAATCAGAAAGATCATCCTGTCACACTAAACAAGTGTGTACTAGGCTATGCAGTAACTGATATTCAAGGATACGAGGAAAAAATATTTGCTATCCACGATTGTGATGAGTTCACAACGAGAATTTTAAATGAAAGTTCAGAATTCGATAGCTGTTTCATGCTGAACACTGTTGTCAATACAACACAGGAAAGCAATACTCAATTATCCGGCCCCTGTCTACAATATGTAGACTTCAAAAAAAGGTCCATATTCGAATCGAATATGCCCATTGCCCATACAATCTCTGCAGATAGAGCAATGAAAAAAGGATTTGCTGAATCAATTAGCAAAAGGTATCCTGAGCTACGACACTTTTGTAACTCAATACATGCTAACATTAACGATATTCTCATCTTCACTGATCCAAAATCTGGACAAATCATATATAACCTGATTACCAAACAGAGGTACTTTCAGAAACCCACTTACGACGCTATATTCAATACCTTGTCCGAAATGAAAGATCATGCTATAGCAAATAACATTCGATCTATCGCAATGCCCAAAATTGCTTGTGGCTTAGATAAAATGAATTGGGAAGAAGTTTCCAAAATCATTCTCGATGTATTCCAACATTCTGGAATTACTATATTTGTCTATGTTTCAGGACAAGAAATCAAGGACATGCCTGCCCTTGAAGTGTTTGATACAGAAAACGTATCAGAAATATTTGAACAAATTGGTTCAGATATAGTCAAAGTATGCAAAAATGAAAACGAAATAGCAACCGACTTTTCTAATGATGCAAAGAACCTTTGCAGGCCTCCCTTGAAAGAACAATTTAAAAAGTACCGAAACAAAGAACATAATGATCGGCTAATTGCCTTTCTTGTCAACGAAACGTTTACCCAATACTCCTCAATTGATAAGGACAATAGTAGCACTTTGGAAAAAATCGAAACTACTATTAAATTCTTATCTGACTTCGATTTCACACAAAGTGATATATCGGATGATGAATTTGCTGATCTAATTCAAATGCTGATAGATGATCAAGACGTTTATTCTCATCACAAATATGATATTGGAAAAACAAAACATAAATTCCACATACCACTCAAAAAGGACGCAACGTTCAAAAAACAACGACCGAGTAAAATCCCAGTCCATCTAAGAGATAAATTGGACAAGTTAATGGATGAGTTAATCCAAGCAGGCATAGTCAGAGAACTAAATGAAAAAGATGATATGAACTCATGGTTCGTAAATCCAGTCATCATTCTTCCAAAAAAAGACTACGTTAAGTTGGTCTTGGATGCTAGGTATCTAAACTCAATCACAGATACTAGCAATTGTAGTTGGCCATTAGAACCACTACAAGTTCTCATGACCCGAATAAACGGATCATACTTCACAA